TTCCAAAGAATATATCTATTTCTTCTTAAATGTCTCCCTTTCCTGCTCCTTTGCCAAAATGTAGTATTCCTCAAGGTTTGGCCTTGAGTCCTTTATTGTCCTCATGATATCTACTCTCTCAGGCTTAAGACATCAACCATCATCTCCATACAGGTAATTTTTTAAATTCCTTAGTGCAAAGTATGAGCTATCAATAGCAACTGTAATATTATGTAGCATCTTATTATATATCAAAGTCTCTCATGAACATCATCATATTTAAGTTTTACAGCAGTTCAGTGAAGTAATGAAGTAACTGTTATCTTAGCTAATTAACACGTATTGGATCATCCTATATTAAGGAGCCCAGTTACAGTGGTAGACATCATAATACAGACCTGTGGGATGCAAATGAGGGACATATAACTAAAGAAGCTATTCAGTTTTTTGCTAGGACTTTTCCATAATCACTCTCAAAAATGTCCTACTTGGAATGATAAATTTGGACCGATTAGGATTGAAATCGCTAATGCAGGGAATGTATTCTGTTTCTGTATATATGAGAAGCTGAGAGTCAGAGATTGTTAGGTACTTACTCACGGAAAAAAAAAAAAAAAGGTACTTGTTCAGAGTCACATTCCCATAAATTAGAACCTGAACTTGGGCCTTTGGACCTCTAATCTAAGTTGTTTCTCATATAGCATGATTGACTGTTTTCTAAGCAAATGTTTGAATTTGAGTTGAGTCTTTTAGGAAGGCTTTATCTATTTCTGTTCTGGATGCAACATCAAATTATTATGTTAATTCTCATTCTCAGGTCCATGTATTTTCTTCTGATGCCCACAAGCCTGTCCTGTGTTAGTTCTAGAAATGATGAGGATCTTGAATGTTTAAGATTTTAAATATATATGTGTAGTTGCTTTTAGGTTACAAGTACAAACATTAAAAAGAAAAAAATCCTAGTTGAAAAAGTTGTAATCTGAAATTATATTATTTTAATGAGATTAATTCTCATAGTTCCTCTCTGTTTTCAGCTTTTATCTTAAAGACAATAATATTTTAGTGTAAATATTATACTTGAGATGAACATAAATGTGACATATTCTACCTTGGTTATCACTGATGTCATGGATTAGCACATTTCATATTTTACTGTTTTTTAAAAGATTTGGAAGGGAGCTTGCATGGTGAAGGGAATGGAGTAGGAACTTATGGCATGGTTACCAATCTTCTCTGCCGCGTGATTTGTTTTTGTACTTCAGTATAATACAGGAGAAACCTACATAGACATTCAGGGATGGGTTCTAGACACTTCCCCAAAATTGTCAATTATTTAGCATTAGTTCTGTTTATGCCAATATTGTTAATACATTACAAGAGTTGTTTGCAGTCTTGCCTAAATAAAAGCATAAATAGCAATTGAGGGCAAAACCAAAAAAACCAAACCCCCTGCCATCAAGTCAATTCCAGCTCACTGAACTCCCATTAGGTTTCCAAGGCTATACTCTTTATGGAAGTAAATTGCCTCATCTTCCTCCCTCTGGTTGCATCAACCTTCAACCTTCTGGTTCACATCCAAATGCCTTATCCATTATGGATGCCACAATAGCTCCTTTTAGTTGACGAGCACAGTCTCTATACTTAAAAAAA